GTAAGTTTTAGTGGGTGAAACACTTCCAATGCTGCTTTCATCGTGCCAAACATCTTCTTGCCTTGGATCTTCCCAATCGTCTTCTTTCTTAGAGTCTTCACACCCGGACTGTTAAATTTCGGGTTCGGCTTGTCTGGGGTTGTGGAGTTTGTTTTCGCAATCGGCATCCATTTCCAGTTGCTCTCTGACCGGTCAGTTCCTACTCCAGCGTCGCCGGATGCTTTCAGAGGGGTTCTGAAAAAGTTTTTCACAACCGCTGCAATAGAGGAGGTTGCAGGATCGATTTGGACGATGATAGACCCCAGCAACCGTCTCCAAACCTTTGGGCCGGCCTGTGCACATGTGATTTTAAGTGGTCATGTGACCTACTTAAAATGTCTGGTTTGACTGGTTTAGACCCTGGGTCCAATTTTGGCGCCCTTTCAAAAAATTTTCCCTTATTTCTGCCCCCTCCAGCTGCCATGTCAGCATAAGACTTTTTCTTAACTCCTTGATCTGAATTCTAATCCTCCTTTAGAATTCTGACCGTCCTCTTTCGAATCTACAGTGCCCGTTTTCCTTCTCCTTGTAAAAACGGTCAGACTTCTCCTCCATGCTTCTCCCATTTTTGACGTTTGCCACGTCATCATCTTCTACCTCATGCAGGCTTCTACAGAGTCTCTCCTCCACCGACGACAGCAACCAGACTATACCACCGCATGTGTGTCGCCTACCTCCAATCTCACTGTTCTCGGTATTGAATCTACTTTAACTCCCCCCAGTTTCATCGAAGCTGCACTCATATTGGATACGTCCACTTCCTCCAGGACTCCGCTGCACAGAGCTGCGATTTTCTTGAAGTTTACAAGGAACCAAAGATGAAATGGGAGCCCTAGCACTTTGATGCGGAAGATTTCTGTCTGATCTACACGATTCGCATTCGGACACCACCGATTACTCCTTCAGAAGTCTGAATGGGAAGCGCATGTATTTCTTCCATCCAATTGTCTGCTCCTAGTTCTAGTAGTGCCTTACAGTCGAAGAGCGAAGCTTCCATCCACTTTCAGTTTTCTTTTAATCTTCTCTGCAACACATCCTCAACTGCCTACTCTTTTGTTTGCAAGTATCACATATTTTTTACGCCAGTTCTGGTATGTTTGATCTTCCTTCCCTTTAACTTCCTTTTCACCGACTAAATGTGATTGATTTTCTGGTGCTTAGTTGGGTTGGATGTTCCTTGGTTTGTTTTCATTTCTCTATAAGAACATCTGCAACTCCTTTACTAACGGCATCCACCCCTTACTCTGTTTTCCCATGGGGATACAAATCATTTGTCTTCTACCTTCGCTGAACCATTCATGAAACTGTTGCAAACCAGCCCTTCCTATTTAGTCGAAGTTCAGCTACAAACTCCTTTCCATTGATTTTGATTGAGTTCTTCCAGGCTTGCGTTTTCCTTGACACTAAAGCTACATCTTGGAAACCTTTCAGCCATGCTGCTACCTCCCTTTGGAGATACACTGTGGCTCTTTTTTCTTCTCTTATCTTCAGAAACACCTGAGACCTCATTTTCACTTCTTCTAGTTTGTATTGTTTTGCTTTGAACGAGACTTCCTTTCTCCACCTTCCCACTACTTCAAACTCTCCCTCCATATAATACCTTGTTATTCAGACAGGCGACGACCGGCCGGCGAATCTCTCTGCTGCTACTCTGTTACATGTTCTTAACCTTTAATCAGATTATAATAATGAAGAAACCTAACTGAGATTAAATAAAGTGGACTGTGACAAGAAAATTGTTGGAATATAAGAATAATCATCAAAGAGATTGGAAAATGATTTTGGTCATGTCATTGATAGACAGTCTTGTGGCATTATTAGTTGGGTTATGCTTATCATATGTTTGGTGAGAAAGGTATTGTATTAATGTAAAAAAAGAATAGACCATATACATCCATATGATACCATGACTATACGGCTTGATAGCAATATATCTCTCCCATTCTCTTCTATCTCTCTTCTCTCTCTTTCTTAGATGAAGCCTTTTCTTCTCTTTATTTCCTTTTTTCTTTTACAGTTTTTATATCAAAACAGGTTGTCCAAACATTTCTACTAAATCAACTATTTCCCCTTCATTTCCTCCTGCATAGATGCCTTCTACTCAAGTTTAGAGAGACTCACTAACATTCCTAGTAGGGGTGCAAATGGATTGGATCATGATCCAATCCAATTTGAAGTCTGATGCTATTTTGTCAGATTTGGATATCCCCATTTCGGATTTTCAGATCAGATCAGATCGGATCGGATCAGATAATAGGATCCAATTAAAAAATCGGATCGAATTTGGATCACCCTATCCGATCCGATAATATATATGTTATTCATTTATTTATAAATATGTTATTTATATTTCATTTTTGTAAATTTTATATTATTTATTTTTTATAAAAAACATGTATATATATGATGAAAATAGTTGAAAATCCTCACCTGAAGTAGGGAAACTAAAGTTTGATCAAACTTGGGTTCCTCCGGGTTCGATAAAAACTGGAGGAGCTAACGATCTCACCAGATGCACCAGAAACACCTCTTGATTGAATCACCCTCTATAAAAAACTCTAGGAAGCTGAAAAAAGACATAACTGCCCCACTCTCAAGGTGAAAAAAAGTTACCTATTGCAGTGGTATTCTTTCTTTCCTTCTCTAATCCTTCCTCTCTTTGGTCTTTTCTTCAAGAAACCTCCTTGGACAGAAGATCTGCCAAAAAATCTAAGTAGCTGGCTCATCTCAAGACTGCATCAAAGGCACTTCAAGAAACCTTAAGTGCCTTTGATACCAAGATGAAAAATCAAAGACCAAGAATTATCAGTGGGGGATAAAAGAAATAACTGTTCTTGTGAAGAGGAAAAAGAAAGAAGGGAATAAAATAGAAGAACGTTGAGGAGTGAGGCAAAAAGTTCTACAGCCGCCCCCCCTCTCTTATTATTGATACTTTATCATAAAGTGTACAAAGACATAAAATCCCTTAATAGGGCGGCTACTTCTAAAACAACTAACAACTATGGCCAAGGCCCAATAACTACTAAAAGAAAGAAAATAACAACTCACAAAGAAAAGAAACATAAAGCCCATAAAACCCAAGGCCCATTAAGGCCTATTTACACTGTTAACACATTGATATGAATTGTGTGGAGCAGTGGTACTAGAATGTTTTATATTGTGGGGTTATTGATGGTTAGAGCAAGTATTAACTGCAATGTTGCACCACTATCATTACCAGATCCTTGGCTAGGTATTTTACAGAATGATCTATGCCTACATGTTTCTAATTGTCAAGGAAAAAAATATTCAGGGACTAAATGCAGGTTTCGCTTCACTTGATTTCATTTTGTTCTAGTAGGTACTAGTACCAACCATGGATCATATTAATTGAATAGTAGGAATGCTCTTTCTTGGCTCTTCTCCTTTTCTGTCTTGATTTGTTTGCTTCATATATTTAGTTATTTTTCTGCTTTGACATATAAATTAGAGGTTATTTTATGTACCCAGTTCAGCCTTAATGTCAATTATTTGTGGTTGGCTACACATATCTTGTCCCTCCAATGTGCTCACTGACGTACCTTGAAACTTTTAGTTTCTGTAGAGAGACTGGGCCGAATGGGTCCTAGCCCATTACTATCTTATTGTTAGTTCTTCCTTGTTGTTTTGTTTGCTAATGGGCCTTTTTTCTATGGGCTTTTAATTCCTTTTTATGCTTCCTGTTATGTTGATGAGCTGGATGCCCACTTAACGGCAGACTTGTAATTTGTTCAATCTTAGTAAGATTAATAAAAGATAAGAGAGGTGGACTTACTCCTGTAGCCAACATTATTAGATCTATTTTCTTCCACCATCTTCTCAAATAAGTCAACCAAAGACCCTTCATATGGTTTAAAAACCCATCATCATTGGTTCTAGACCTGTAAGATTGTTCAGAAGATACCCTAGGCCTATAGAATCGGTCACATTGTGAGAACATAGTGAATAAACCGTTAGTTCTGATACCAACTGATGTAGGACCAGCTCAGTTCTAGTCCTTAGAGAATGTTGAATGGTATTCATGGATCAGAATTTTATGGCTGTTGATGGCTGTAATGGCTTCTTGAAGGAATAAGAGAGAAATAGGGAGAGAAAGAAGAGAGAAAATACCTGGAATCATTCACAGGGTGCCTAGAATCACTCTAGGGCATGGGAATCACTCACCATAGCTAGCATAAGCTGAAGAAAACTCAATATATTTCATTGCCTTTGTGTAAAACGTCCTTACATATTTATAGACTCTAAACTCATAATAATCCTAGGAGTCTAACTGTTAGACTCAATAATCCTAGTAGGACTCAAACTAAGTTGTCATATCCTATTTCAATTCAAAGAAGACTCAATAACTCTAATCCTACTTAACTGTGAAATTTTAAACATAAACAAACTATAACTAGACAAATTAAACCCTATCATTGGACCCCACAAAAAATTGCAAAATGACAAAAACACCCCTACTGTCTAACAAATACAGAAATACATAAAATTTCATAAAATTCCAATTTTGCCTCTTCAGCTCCTGCATCAGGTGGACTCCCTTCTTCATCTTCTTCTTCTTTTTCTTCTACTTGCTGTTTTCTTCTTCTCCTATTCTCTCCTTGTTATAATCTGAAAATATTTTACAGATTTTTATTGGACTGAACCACATCTGTTCCAAAGCATTTCTCCATTTTTCTACCTTTGCATTTAACCCATCTTTAGTTTAATCAATCAATATATTTCATTAGCCAATGACATACAATATTGAGATCTCTTGTAAATGTCTAATTAGTTCATTCATAACTAATGCAAAAAGATACAGATTAAGCACATATATTGGTGTTAACCCATTGCTATTAGGCTATATAAAGTAAATTCTATTAATTTTTGTACCATTTAAGTTATTAACTTATTTGTTATGAAGCGATTGTAAGCTGTACATTTCGCAACTCATTTTCTTACAGATGGGTGGAAGGCATGGCACCTGTATTTTCTCGAGCAGCGTGGCATTGTGTGTGGCATCTCATACAGGTTCACATAGATCATTGGCTTCACTACCTTTTATCTGCCAGTCTAATAACTAAGTATTAGCGTTTTATAGTTTTTACTTTGGAAATTGAGCCTATATTTTGTATATTTCTGTAGCTAATGTTGTATCATATTCTAGAAACTATTCTTTTCATGGATGGGTTTATGATGATGTCTTTTGAGCTACTGAATTGTCTTTTCTCAATTTCTCATTTGCTTGCTTTTCTAGGATTTATATGAAGATTTCTACTTACTAATTGATTAATATGATTATGGTCTTGTGAGATTAGAGTCAACAGTGGGCAATAATACGGTACTATTGCAGATTGATCTGATTAGGGCTTAAGAGATGATGTTCTCATTGTGATGTACTGATGTTAGGACATCTACAAGAAAGGAATTGAGATGGATTTTTTCCTGGCTTTTTTTTGTCTTCTTTAGTAAGAAAGAGAAGTCGTTATTTAAAAAAAATGACCTGGAAACGGAACCATTCCGGCAACCGGTTTCCGGGTCGACGGTTCAACTGCCCAGTTTGAACAGATGGCCTGTTCTGACAAAAAAAGTTAAAAATAAAAAACGGCCAAAAACTGTTGAATGGGTCGACGGGTCGATGGTTTGACCGCCCTGGTCAACGGGTCGTTAACTGATTCAACGGATTTTGGCCAGGGACCGAGTTTGGGGTAAAATGGAACTGGTTGCCTGGACGGTTTCCAGGCCAAACGATCTGATCGTCCGGGTCAACGGCAGTTCGAAAACCATGAGAAAAGTAAAAGATTGATTAAGCATGTATGGTATATCTCACCTTTTACGTACCTCTCAAGATAATTTACTTTGGGCATATTGATTTATCCTGAATAATATCAAACAGTATACCAATCTATCTATCTATTTATTATTAGATAGACAAGGACCATTATCCAGTGATAGTTCTGATTTCACTGAGCAATAGCCCCCATCTTCTATGAATAAATAAGCTGTCATAATAAGAAAATGGAATATAATCTTTTGTCCCTGAAACCTATCCATCTTAAGTTGCAAATACACGATTCTAGTAACTTGCTGTTGAGCCATCTTCACTAGGCTCCTTTTTCTTTCACCCCCGATTGTCCAGATGATAGAAAAATGGATGACATTCAAATTAGTAAAACATGTGGACAATGATTTTCTTTTAAGTTTAATTTTCCTCCATTAGGCCTGTTGATGGATGACATTCACTAGGCCATTTGAAGATTTGTCAATGACTCAATGGAACTAAAAAATCTACAGGAAAAATTTCACCCTTTAACTTGAGAATGACTGCTTATACTGTTTCCATAACATTAAGTCTAAGATAACAAAACCATTGTTAGTGTCGACTGTGTAGGGGTAATTTAGTCTTTTTATTTATGTTTATAGCTGATGTGTAATGTTTATGTTAAGTGATGTGTCCCATACTTAAGTAGGGACATAATATCAATTAAGCTCTCTAGTTCGAACCAGATTTCTCTTCTCTTGTCTTCTTCTATTCTCTCTAGTATCCCTTCTAATACCAGTCTAATACTAATACTAACAGAATTCTAGTGCAGATCAGAATTTTATCATGGTATCAGAGCCATTGTGACAAAATCAGATCTGCTCAGAATTCTGTTTTTCTCGCCATTCAGCCTTGGGTTTTTATTTTTTCTTCATCATCTATTGGAGATAGGGAAAAGGGCTGAAAAGGAGTGGTCGCCCTTTCCTCTTGGAGGTTTTTATGCCTCTGGTTAGTAGGTTGGTGGGTGTTTGCAGTGGTTTGTAGAAAGCCCCCCTAATCAATGGTGAGAAGAGGGCTGTTTCAGGTGGTGCAGTGGACAGTTGAGTGCAGGTCGGTTTTTGTGATTAGATAGGTGGATATTTCAGTGTGGATCGAGTTGTTGGTGAGTTGCAAGTGTTATGGTGTGTATTCAGGTAGTTGTGTGGTAGTGTTGTGGTGTGGAGAGTGAAGAATTCAGTGATGGGTATTGCTGAGTTTGTGACTATAGGTGTTTTCTTTACTAGTGTGCAGTGTGGTGAGAAGTGAATCAAAGAAAAAAATTTCAGATATGGGAGATAACAGCGAAAACAAAACTAGTGTGATGGTTCCCACTGACTACCTGAATGTTCAGATGACTTCTATCAAATTGAATGGGGAGAACTATGTGCCTTGGGCGAAATCCGTAGAGGTCTTTCTTAGAGCTAAGAAGAAAGTGAAGCATGTAAGTGAAGAAAAACCCTCCACTAAGTCTCATGAGTATAGTGATTGGGAACAAGATGATGCACAGATTATGACCTGGTTATGGAATAGTATGGAACCCATGATCAGTGTAAATTTCATGTTCCTAGATACAGCCAAGGAGATTTGGGACCATGCCAAGAAGCTGCATTCGGAACAAAACAACACCACTAGAGTGTATTAGCTTTATCAGGAGTACTTTAATCTGCAACAGGGTAATCGGAGTCTTGAGGAGTACTATGCTAGCATGAGGAATCTTCGTAGTGAGTTGAATGTGTACCATCCCCTCACTTTTGATGTTAAAATTCAGCAACAGTAGAGAAAACAACTAGATGTGACCAGATTTTTAGGACTGAAATCTGAATATGAACCAACGAGAGCACAAATACTAGGAGGGTCAGCTGTTCCGTCTCTAGAAGAGGTATTTTCCCATCTTCGGAGGATCTCTATTGGGCCCACAGAGAATTCTAATATCTTTGATAGGTTTGCCTTTGTAGTGTCAAGAGGGGGAGGTCGTGGTGTTAGAGGTGGAGCTCGGGGAGCTCAATCTGGCCATAGTGGTAGAAGTGGACCGGTGTAGTAATGGTACAAGAAGGTGTACACACTGTGGTATGGAAGGACATACCATCAACTTTTGTTATGATTTGCATGGCCCACCTTCAACTTGGGCAAATCATGCAGTGGCCAGTGATAGTGGTTCTAGACAGGAGGGTCAACAAGCTGATCAGATGCCCTTCTATATCTATAGATGTTTTCGGGAAGGAGATGATGAGTATTTCACATAATGAGTATAGGCGGTTTATTCAGGCTACATCTCAACTGAATACAACCACTCTTGCACATTCAGGTATGGCTTGTCTGGCATCCAAACCCAACCCCTGAATTATTGACTTTGGAGCCTTCGGTCACATGACTAGAACTACAGGTGTGTTTTCCTCCCTTTCTTAGTGCCCCACATCACACTCTGTTACCCTTGCTAATGGTTCCACATCTTCCATTTGTGGTGTTGGTAATGTTGACATAGACCCTTCATCCCTATCCTCAGTTTCGTATGTTCCCAAATTTCCTTTTAATCTTATGTCTATTAGTAAGTTGACCAAGTCCCTTAATTGCTCTATTACTTTTTACCCTTCTTCTTGTGTTTTTCAGGATCTCAAGACGGGGACAAAGATTGGTGGAGGGCATGAAGTTGGTGGATTGTATTATCTTGATGGTGGTGGTAGTTCGTCAACAACCCTTCAGACATCCCTTTCTCCTCTGTAGTAGCATTGTAGACTTGGCCATCCATCTTTTAAAGTATTGAAGTCTCTTGTTCCGCCATTGAGTCATCTTTCTGTTTTGGATTGTGAGTCATGTCAGTTGGGGAAACATCATCGTATTCCCTTTAGTCTTAGGGTTGATAATCGTATGTTGAGTCCTTTTTCTTTAGTTCATTAAGATATTTGGGGTCCAAATAAAATAATGCCATACAATGGTTACAAATACTTTGTTATTTTTGTTGATGATCATTCAAGGATGACGTGGCTTTACCTAATGAAAGAAAGGAGTGAATTGTTTGACATTTTCCAAAAATTTTATGCTGAAATTCGCAACCAATTTGGTGTACACTTTAAGATTCTTCGTTCTGATAATGGTCGAGAATACTTTTATACACCATTTCAGGAATATTTGGAACAACATGGCATTATCCATCAGACTTCATGTACCCACACCCCACAACAAAATGGGGTAGCTGAAGAAAGAACCGTCACCTTTTGGAAACTGCTCGATCCCTTCTGCACTATATGAATGTACCTAAACATTGTTGGAGTGATGCTGTACTTACATCTTGCTTCCTAATTAACCAGATGCCCATGCCCATCCTTGAAGGTCATTCCCCTTTCATTACTTTGTTTCCTACCTTGTCTCCGTTTCCCCTTACTCATCAGATTTTTGGGTGTGTATGTTTTGCTCATAATCTTGGATCGGGAAAGGACAAATTAGATGCACTATCCACTAAGTGTATCTTCCTTGGTTATTCCCTGACCTAGAAAGGGTATAAGTGTTATAATCCTAGTTCCTAACATTCCTTTGTGTGTGCTGATGATACTTTCTTTGAGTCTTTTCCGTTTTTCTCAGGTTCAGGTGATGTCTTCTTCTTCCTAACCTCCTCCTCCTCTTCCAGTTTCCCTTTGAGGACCCCATTCCACTTGTTCCAGTTGTGACTAAGTCTTTGCCTTTGGTGCAATTTCTTATTGAACAACTACCTATTTGTCAAGTGTATATACATCAACAACATGTACTAGCTCCTCTTCTAGCTTCGTCACCGTTGACAGATCCGGTAGCTGTTCCCACACCATCCACAACCCTAGTTTCTGACCTTGATCTTCCTATTGCCTTGCGGAAAGGTAAACGTAGTTGCACACTTCATCCCATTTCTAATTATGTTTCTGTCACTCACCTTTCCGCTTCCCATCGCCAGTTTATTTCTTTATTGTTTCTATTTTTGTTCCTACGGATGTCCAGGAAGCCCTTGCTTCTCTAGGGTGGCGCCATACAATGGAAGAAGAACTCTCTGCCTTAACTCATAATCATACGTGAGATCTCATGACGCTTCCTCCTGGTAAGCAGGTTGTCGGTTGTAAGTGGGTATACACTGTTAAGTATTTCCCTGATGATAGTGTAGAGCGGTAAAAGCGAGACTGGTCGCCAAAGGGTATTCCCAAACATATGGTAATGACTACATGGAGACCTTATCTCCTGTTGCTAAAATTGGTTCAGTCCCTGTTGTGAT